ATAAGTGAATTCAAGGAGTAGAGAGGCTGAATGACTGAAACCTGAACAAGTGTTCAATTGTGACGAAACAGGCCTCTTTTGGAAGAAAATGCCAAAGAGGACCTACCTTACTCAGGAGGAAAAGGGACTGCCAGGACACAAGCCTATGAAAGACAGGCTGACACTCATGTTCTGTGCTAATGCTAGTGAGGATTTCAAAGTGAAGCCGATACTAGTGTACCATTCTGAAAATCCCAGCGTGTTCAGGAAAAACAATGTTATGAAGAGTAAATTGTGTGTTTTGGAAAGCTAATAATAAGGCATGGGTCACGAGGGAAATTTTCGTCGAGTGGTTCAATGAAGTTTGGCCCTAGTGTGAAGAATTACTTCCTGGAAAATAAAGTGGATCTCAAGTGCCTCCTGCTAATGGACAATGCATCTGCTCATCCTCCAAGCTTGGATGACCTAATTCTGGAGGAGTTTGGGTTCATCACAGTCAAGTTCTTGCCCTCTAATACCACTCCTCTCCTCCAGCCCATGGACCAGCAGATCATTTCAAACTTTAAAAAATTCTACACTAAAGCAATGTTTCAAAGGCTTGGGAGGGAGTGACTACCAGGACTTTGAACTCTGCTTGGAGAAAATTGTGGCCAGATTGTGTCCAGAAGAGGGATTTTGAAGGGTTTGGGGCTGACCCTGATGAGCCTATGACAGTTGTGAAATCTATTGTGGCATTGGGGAGTTCCATGGGGTTGGATATGAGTTTGGAGGATGTGGAAGAGTTGGAGGAGGACCACAATGAAGAGCTAACCACTGAGGAGCTGCAAGAGCTTCAGCAGGAACAGCAACAGACCGCAGCTCAGAATATTGCTGTAGAGGAGGAAGAGAGATGGAAGAAGTTGTCTTCAGAAATTAAGGAGATTTTTGAAATGTGGGGTAGGATGGAAAGATTTATGGAAAAACATCACCCTGACAAGGCTGTTGCAAGACATATCAGCAACTTGTACAGTGAAAGTCTTGGCTCATTTTAGGGAAGTTGTAAAGAGATGCCAGAAACAAGAGCTCTCTGGACAAGTATTTAGTGCCACAGGTGTACAATGACTCAAGCTGGTCCTAGTGGCATTAAGTAACAGAGAAAAGAAGTAACCCCAGAAAAGGACTTGGTATCTGAGGCATTGATGGAAGGGGATTTCCATTCCTAACAGTAACTAATCCAATCTCTCTCCTCCTCCAGTCTTCCATACACTAAGAAGAATTGCCAATAAAGGTAAGTGTTATGCTGTTAATGTTTCATTCATCATGTCCCATTGTATTGTGCATCTACTACATCTACATTTCATGTAAAAAAATTTGTTTTAATACTTCTGGGTGTCTGGAACGGATTAATTATATTTACATTCTTATGGGGAAAACAGATTCGAAAATCGTCAATTTCGATAAGTCACACTTCCAGGAACGGATTAATTAAGAAAAATGAGGGCCCACTGTACTACAGTGGAACCTCGGTTGCCGAATTTAATTCATTCCAGATGTAGATTCGACAACCAAACTGGACAACAACCAAAGCAATTTTTTCTCATAAAGAATAATGTAAATAAAATTAATCCATTCCAGGCCCCCAAATGACAATATAATAATTTATTCAAAATGTACTACTACATAAAACTAAAAATGAATACTAAAAGAAACTAACTGAAATACTGTACAGTAAATTAAAATTTAACTACCTCTTACCTCTCAGAGGAGAGTTAGTGGCATACTGGAAGCAGGAGGTGGAGAGGAGGGGGTATGTTACTGCTTGGAAGGAGAGTCACCTTCTATTAATATGTCAGGCAACTGTCCTTCTGGTGTTTAAACCTTTAATAACTCAGCAAAAAGCTGCTGTGCAGATGATTATCAGCTCCTGTGCTAGACAGCACACCCCACCACTTTTCAAAAGCCTAAACTTGCTAAATATACGAGACATTCACTCATATTGTGCCTACTACATGTACAGAACATTAAATTCCACTATAAACCCACCACTTAAACTACTCCTTGACAGTTACAACAGAATGCACATTCAACACAAGGCATAAGGCACTCTTCAACATCCTTTGTGTCAGTCTCGCATTATGCAAAAAACGCTATGCACATAAAGGGTCTGAAGTCCTGAAACTTGCTACCAGAACTGGTAAAGGATCCCCTGACTACTTGTAAATTTAGGACTTTGCTAAAAAATCATCTCATCTCTCAATACTAACCAATTCAACCAAAACTTCTGCCAGTCCATGAAATATTACTTCCTGAATCATTATTTATAATATTGTTTTTTTTATGTGCAACTTCAGGATTATTATTCTTAAAAAAATCTCCACCTTGACCACTTTGCATTAGTATTAAGATTAAATAAAAATGTACCACAGTTAACCACTACTATCTTGTCTAGTTTTAAGTAGTTTCTATGTATTAGGATTAGTCTGCCCGAAATGCCCTGGCATGATAGTGGCTTTCTTTGTACTTAGCAAACCAAAATTGTAATTACACGTTGTAACTTTTACAAAGAAATAAATCTTTGCTTTGTATCTTTTCACCACTAACACCTTGGGCTCACTGATTCTTTGTTTCACTAAAAACCTCTGTTTTAGGCTCCGTTTTAACACTTGTCTAAATTGAAACATTACACTGTCATTGCACACATTAGACACGGATGGCCACTGCTTTGTCTGGATGGTATTTTTCAGCAAACTCCTGCACTTCATACCATTTAGCACACATTTCCTTGACAAGCCCAATGGCCACATCACTCCTTCCCTCCTGTTCCTCTGATGACAGCTCCTCTGCTGCAATCTGTTGTTGCTCTCCTTCTGAAGGTCTACAAGTTCTTTTGTGGTAAATTAAGTTCTATGCTCCTCCTACAACTCCTCCACATCATCTTCAGTCACCTCTAGGGCCAAGGTATTCCCCCAGGAACAATATCCTCTATTGGCTCAGGCTCATCTTCAAAGCCTTCAAAATTCCTGGCTGCCACAAAGTCAGGTTACAATTTCTTCCATGCTGACTGCATGGTCCTGAAGACACATTCTCCTAGGCTTTGTCTATAAGCCTCAAGCAGGTGAGGATACTGAAATTACCCTTTCAGAACTCCCCGAGGGTTAAAAATTTGTTTCTGAAGAAATTTCAAAGCACCTTTCAAAAAGTGCTTTGGTGTAGAGTTTCTCGCAGCTAGAAATGATCTGCTAGTCCATGGGTTCAATGAAAGGAGTGGTGTTAGGAGGCAAGAACTTCACAGTTATAAAACTGAGCTCCTCCAGCAACTCGTTTTCCAAGCTTGAAGGGTGAGCAGGAGAATTATCCATAAGTAAAAGGGCCCTGAGTGGCAACTGTTTTTTAACAAGGTACTTTTTGACAGTGGAAGCAAAGACTTCATGAACCCACCCAATAAAAAATTGTCTTGTTACCCAAGCTTTTGTGTTAGCCCTCCGCATTACAGCCAATTTATTTTTCGTAACATTGTTCCACTTAAAAACTAGTGGATTTTCGGAATGAAAAACAACTAAGGGCTTCAATTTCAAGTCTCCCACAATGCAGACTCATTGTCCAGTGCACATTCTGTGAGCATGTGACCCAAGTCATTTGTATTGTTAGTCGACAACCAAGAGAACATGTGAAAACCAAGTAATTTTGTAATTTTTTCTTGAATTCCTCATTTGAAAACTGATTTGTTTGACAAGTAATACAGTTGACAACTGAGGTTCCACTGTATATTAGAGTGGGAGACAGTTAGGGTAAGATATATAAACAACTGTTGGGAGAAAGATGGAGTAGCTAGAGTAAAGGTAATGAGGTAGATCTAAGAATGCAGTGTTAGTGTGTGTACCTGAAGTTTGTGGGCACAGGAGGGTGGGTGTGGGAGGAAACAGGAGTGATTGGTAGAATGATGAGGTTGAGCGAGACCTGCACGTCATGTAGAATATTCTTGTTATTCATAGTATTCTGCTCTAACCAAAAAAATTACCCAGAATAAGATGGTGAGATTTATCATAGACAAAAGTGCTCATAATCAGTGTCCTGAAACTCGTGCTGCAAATTCTGTCATGGTTTAGAATCAAAAATAGTATGGCACTACGGAAAGTGGAAATTTTGTAATACGTATAATAGGTGGCCAGGTGTTAACACCTACACAGTAATAAAGGAGTGGAATGGGTTGCCTGATATTCAAACCCAGAATTAGTATTAAACAGTTTAGGAACAAATAAAAGATAAATAAATGTTCACAAATAAATATTCATAATTTATTATTTAATTCATGTTAAGCGCTAGACCCATGTGGGTCATTCAGCGCAAAACGTAATAGAGGCTCGATCCACCGTCTCCTGAGCGACAGACAAATTATAAATAAATAATTCATTATTAAATAACATTAACTGAAATGCTGAACCCCCCAAAAAATCATACAGCTTCAAATTTGGGAAGAATTAAAAAGTACCTAATGAATGAAGCCACATTAAACACTACCTAAATGGTTGATTTCTTGCATAAATAACTCTCCTATTAATGTAAAATTTAACAATTTTTTCTTCCTCTGACATATTTCATTTTAGTGCATTTGATTTACTTAGTGTTAATTAAATTTTACTACATCTTGATGTTAATAATTACTAATTTTGTGTATTTAATAAGCATAACAAAAGGACCCCAATGGAAACAAAGTCACTCGAGTTTTTTTTGGGTTATCCTTGCCTATTTAAACATATATTATGCAAGACAATTGTAGTAATCATACAAAGATCATGTGATTGTGCCTGAATATTTTTTTTTCAGACGAGAGCTAAACCCATAAGGATTATAGTGCCTGTGGGAGGGGAAGGGGTGAATGGAAAAAATTCAGGCTCAATTCAGGGAACTGGATCACAGATCCAATCCCCTAGATCAAGAGCCTCTCACCAACATCAAGGAACCTCCCTGGACGTGTACCTGAATAAAAATTTAAGTGATTGCTACCTTGGCCTTATTAACACAAGTCAACTAAGTTCATTAACCTGTATGAGTTCATCAAGGCTCTCCTGGAGGGTGTTTCCCAAGGTGGTGTTGCGGTAGAGTTGGTAAGTCATGATAGAAGCAGCAAGAACACTTATACAAGAGCCAGAGTGACAATAATAACAGCAGCTAACATAACAGCGTCAGCCACACACCTCTCACCTACACTGATGGTTCTTATTTAATATTCAAATTCAAATTTTTATTTCTCGGCATATTGTAGCGTTGTATAGCCCTTGTGGCTTAGCGCTTCTTTTTTATTATAATAATAATAATCGGCATATTGTACAATGTGTGTGATTTATGTGTTACAAAATATTGTTAAGCACAAAGAAAGCCATTAATATGAAAGAGCACTTATCTTTAATACCATGTCTCTAAGTAAGCACAGTAAATAAGTTTATTCAGGCATAGGTACACATTTTTGTAGATGAATGGTTCAGAGAACCGACATGTTGATAAATTAGACACATGTGCAACTCTTGGGTATCTTTATTAAGGAAACGTTTCGCCACACAGTGGCTTCATAAGAACATAAGAACATCAACTTTTCTGTACTCGACTGAAGAAGCCTACTGTGTAGGCGAAACGTTTCGAAATAAAGATACCTAACTGTTGCATATGTGTCTTACCTAACAACATAAGAACACAAGAAAGTAGGAACACTGCAGAAGGCCTACTGGCCCATACGAGGCAGGTCCTTATCAAAACGACATCTGGAGTTTACCTGGAGAGAGTTCCGGGGGTCAACGCCCCCGCGGCCCGGTCTGTGACCAGGCCTCCTGGTGGATCAGAGCCTGATCAACCAGGCTGTTGCTGCTGGCTGCACGCAAACCAACGTACGAGCCACAGCCCGGCTGATCAGGAACTGACTTTAGGTGCTTGTCCAGTGCCAGCTTGAAGACTGCCAGGGGTCTGTTGGTAATCCCCCTTATGTATGCTGGGAGGCAGTTGAACAGTCTCGGGCCCCTGACACTTATTGTATGGTCTCTTAACGTGCTAGTGACACCCCTGCTTTTCATTGGGGGGATGGTGCATCGTCTGCCAAGTCTTTTGCTTTCGTAGTGAGTGATTTTCGTGTGCAAGTTCGGTACTAGTCCCTCTAGGATTTTCCAGGTGTATATAATCATGTATCTCTCCCTCCTGCGTTCCAGGGAATACAGGTTTAGGAACCTCAAGCGCTCCCAATAATTGAGGTGTTTTATCTCCGTTATGCGCGCCGTGAAAGTTCTCTGTACATTTTCTAGGTCGGCAATTTCACCTGCCTTGAAAGGTGCTGTTAGTGTGCAGCAATATTCCAGCCTAGATAGAACAAGTGACTGAAGAGTGTCATCGTGGGCTTGGCCCTCCCTAGTTTTGAAGGTTCTCATTATCCATCCTGTCATTTTTCTAGCAGATGCGATTGATACAATGTTATGGTCCTTGAAGGTGAGATCCTCCGACATGATCACTCCCAGGTCTTTGACGTTGGTGTTTCGCTCTATTTTGTGGCCAGAATTTGTTTTGTACTCTGATGAAGATTTAATTTCCTCATGTTTACCATATCTGAGTAATTGAAATTTCTCATCGTTGAACTTCATATTGTTTTCTGCAGCCCACTGAAAGATTTGGTTGATGTCCGCCTGGAGCTTTGCAGTGTCTGCAATGGAAGACACTGTCATGCAGATTCGGGTGTCATCTGCAAAGGAAGACACAGTGCTGTGGCTGACATCCTTGTCTATGTCAGATATGAGGAACAAGATGGGAGCGAGTACTGTGCCTTGTGGAACGAGCTTTTCACCGTAGCTGCCTCGGACTTTACTCTGTTGACGACTACTCTCTGTGTTCTGTTAGTGAGGAAATTATAGATCCATCGACCGACTTTTCCTGTTATTCCTTTAGCACGCATTTTGTGCGCTATTACGCCATGGTCACACTTTTCGAAGGCTTTTGCAAAGTCTGTATATATTACATCTGCATTCTTTTTGTCTTCTAGTGCATTTAGGACCTTGTCGTAGTGATCCAATAGTTGAGACAGACAGGAGCGACCTGTTCTAAACCCATGTTGCCCTGGGTTGTGTAACTGATGGGTTTCTAGATGGGTGGTGATCTTGCTTCTTAGGACCCTTTCAAAGATTTTTATGATATGGGATGAAAGTTAAGACACATGTGCAACATCTGGATATCTTTATTGTAGTAGACGTTTCGCCATCCAGTGGCTTTATCAATACAGATTCTAGGACATAATAGGAAGACAGTAGAACTATATACAAAAGATGAGGTAATCAGTCCCTCGGCCTTGGAGTTAGTGTTCACAGCATCTAGGACATAATAGGAAGACAGTAGAACTATATACAAAAGATGAGGTAATCAGTCCCTCGGCCTTGGAGTTAGAGTTCACAGCATCGTGGTGGAGGAGAGTCTGGAGCAAAGGCAAGAAGACTGGCGCTTTTTATAGGCGTCAGTGAATGGGACGGGCAGCAGACGAGGTCAGTCACTGGTAGGCGGGATTCCCCAGTGGAAGTAGGTCCTTCCCAAAGAGATGGGTTAGTTGCAGCAGCCGTGAAGAAGGTCTTGTAGATGTCCTCTGAACCAAGATTCCATGATATTGTCGGTATTTTATACCTTTCTTTGCACAACTTGTCAGACACTGCAACATCATGGAATCTTGGTTCAGAGGACATCTACAAGACCTTCTTCACGGCTGCTGCAACTAACCCATCTCTTTGGGAAGGACCTACTTCCACTGGGGAATCCCGCCTACCAGTGACTGACCTCGTCTGCTGCCCGTCCCATTCACTGACGCCTATAAAAAGCGCCAGTCTTCTTGCCTTTGCTCCAGACTCTCCTCCACCACGATGCTGTGAACACTAACTCCAAGGCCGAGGGACTGATTACCTCATCTTTTGTATATAGTTCTACTGTCTTCCTATTATGTCCTAGATGCTGTGAACACTAACTCCAAGGCCGAGGGACTGATTACCTCATCTTTTGTATATAGTTCTACTGTCTTCCTATTATGTCCTAGAATCTGTATTGATAAAGCCACTGGATGGCGAAACGTCTACTACAATAAAGATATCCAGATGTTGCACATGTGTCTTAACTTTCATATTGTCGGTATTTTATACCTTTCTTTGCACATGATATGGGATGTTAGTGCTATTGGTCTGTAGTTCTTTGCTGTTGCTTTACTGCCCCCTTTGTGGAGTGGGGCTATGTCTGTTGTTTTTAGTAACTGTGGGACGACCCCCGTGTCCATGCTCCCTCTCCATAGGATGGAAAAGGCTCGTGATAGGGGCTTCTTGCAGTTCTTGATGAACACAGAGTTCCATGAGGAAATGGTATGGTGATACCGACAAGATGTGGAAAAAGACACTTATGTACAGTTCAGGACATTTATTAAAGGAAACGTTTCGCCACGAGTGGCTTCTTCAGTCCTAGGACTGAAGAAGCCACTCGTGGCGAAACGTTTCCTTTAATAAATGTCCTGAACTGTACATAAGTGTCTTTTTCCACACAGAGTTCCATGAGTCTGGCCCTGGGGCAGAGTGCATGGGCATGTCATTTATCGCCTGTTCGAAGTCATTTGGCGTCAGGATAACATCGGATAGGCTTGTGTTAATCAAATTTTGTGGCTCTCTCATAAAAAAATAATTTTGATCTTCGACTCTCAGTCTGGTTAGCGGCTTGCTAAAAACTGAGTCATATTGGGACTTGAGTAGCTCACTCATTTCCTTGCTGTCATCTGTGTAGGACCCATCTTGTTTAAGTAGGGGCCCAATACTGGACGTTGTTCTTGATTTTGATTTGGCATAGAAATAACTCCCGTACCCCTTGACACCAATCAAACCCAGCCCCTCCCACTCATATATTTGTCCAGTCTCTTCTTAAAGCTACCCAAGGTCCTAGCCTCTATCACCCCACTGGGAAGACTGTTCCACGCATCTACAACTCTGTTAGAAAACCAGTACTTACCTATGTCCTTTCTAAATCTAAATTTATCCAACTTAAATCCATTATTCCTGGTTCTTACCTGGTTCGACACCCTCAGTACTTTATTAATGCCTCCCTTGTTTATGCCCGTCATCCACTTATACACTTCAATGATATCTCCCCTCATTCTACGCCTCTCCAGAGAGTGGAGATTTAAGGCTTTAAGTCTATCTTCATACGGGAGGTTCCTTACACAGTAAATCATTTTAGTCATTCTTCTCTGTATGTTATCTAATGAGTCTATGTCCATCCTGTAGTAAGGGGACCAAAACTGAGCAGCATAATCTAAATGAGGCCTCACTAGTGATGTATAGAGCTGTAAAATAACTTTTGGACTTGTTACTTATACTTCTTGAG